GCGCCCGCACCCAAAATCACATAGGGGACCGGCCATGGGTGTGACATCAGAGACCCCATATTCAGCTCTAAATAGACTGCTTCTCCCTGTTTCCCTGTGTTACGACAATTCCATTTATACAGGGAATGTTCTAGCACTGGTTGACTCCGGTGCGGCTGAGAACTTCATTAATTCCAACTTTGTAAAGACATACAAGATACCCTTACGGGAGAAAGAAACACCCTTGGTCGTTGAGGCCATAGATGGTTGACCATTATGCTCCCCAGTGATTACTTACGAAACTGAACCCCTGCATATGTCTACAGGATTGTTGCATACTGAAATGATTCAGTTCCAGGTCAGTACCAAATGTCATGAGTCTTGTATCACTGAAGTTAGAAACATAGAATGTGATGGCAGATAAGAACCATTTGGCCCATCTAGTCTGCCCAATTTTCTAAATACTTTAATTAGTCCTTGGCCTTATCTTATAGCCTTATGCCTATCCCACTCATGCTTAAACTGCTTCACTGTGTTCACCTCTACCACTTCAGCTGGAAGGCTATTCAATGCATCCACTTCCCTCTCAGCAAAGTAATGATATTATTTGTAAACCTTTGCCCCTCTAATTTAAGACTATTTTCTCTTGTTGTGGTAGTTTTTCTTCTTTTAAATCTAGTCTCCTCCTTTACTGTGTTGATTTCCTTTATGTATTTAAATGTTTCTATCATATCCCCCCTGTCTCGTCTTTCCTCCAAGCTATACATGTTAAGATCCTTTAACCTTTCCTTGTAAGTTTTATCCTGTAATCCATGAACCAGTTTAGTAGCCCTTCTCTGAACTCTCTCCATAGTATCAATATCCTTCTGGAGATATGGTCTCCAGTACTGCGTACAATACTCCAAGTGGGGTCTTGCCAGTGTTCCGTACAATGGCATGAGCACTTACCTCTTTCTATTGCTAATGCTCTTTTACATTATCTGCCTACCTTTAAGTCATCTGGAATAACTACCACAAAATCCCCTTCTCAGATGTTGGTGTTAGGACTCTATCAAATATTCTAGTTTACCTAAATCATTTGCATTTGGCTTATCCCTTCTGGAACATCAACCCTGTTTAATATCAGCAAAAAGACATACCTTACGATCAAGACCTTCTGCAATATCACTAATAAAAATATTATTCTTCCCTACTTTCTTGTGAATGGGCACAACATTCGTTAACTTCCAATTTTCTGGGACAACTCCTGTTAACAATGATTGGTTAAATAAATCCGTTAATGGTTTTACTAGTACACCACTACGCTCTTTTAATAACTTTGGGTGTATTCCCTCAGGTCCCATTGACTTATTTGCATAGGCGTGTGCACGGGGTGTGCCGGGTGTGCCTAGGCACACCCTAATCCCCGCGGCACGCACCATGAGCTCCATGGGCTGGTGAGGGAGATCAAAAATCTTCCTCACCGAACCACAGGCAGGGAGGGAGGCAGGAGAGGACCTGGGGAGCTCTTGCCAGTAACCGCGGCAACGCTCAGATATCGCGAGAGTGAACTCTAGCCACACAGGGGGCTAGAGTTCACTCTGCACTGGACCACCAGGGAAGGCAGGAGCACGGTCCCCCCTCCCTACATAAGGTAAGAAGTGACGGGGGATATTAACTAAACGGCCCCCCACACATTACACACAAACATACAGCACACACACATACATCACCCTTGCAAACACAGCACACACTAACCGCACCCTCACACTAACAGCACCCTCACACTAACAGCACCCTCACACATACACACACAGCACACACTAACAGCACCCACTCAAACACAGCGCCTTCACACACACAGCGCACCCGCACACACACACAGCACCTACATACACACACAGCACCTCACACACACAGCAGTGTGTGTGTGTGTGTGTGTATGTATGTGTATGTGTATATACAGTTGCAAGAAAAAGTATGTGAAGCTTTTGAAATGATATGGATTTCTGCACAAATTGGTCATAAAATGTGATCTGATCATCATCTAAGTCACAACAATAGACAATCACAGTCTGCTTAAACTAATAACACACAAAGAATGAAATGTTGCCATGTTTTTATTGAACACACCATGTAAACATGGTGCAGGTGGAAAAAGTATGTGAACCCCTAGACTAATGACATCTCCAAGAGCTAATTGGAGTGAGATGTCAGCCAACTGGAGTCAAATCAATGAGATGAGATTGGAGGTGTTGGTTACAGCTGCCCTGCCCTATGAAAAACACACACCAGTTCTGGGTTTGCTTTTCACAAGAAGCATTGCCTGATGTGAATGATGCCTTGCACAAAAGAGCTCTCAGAAGACCTACGATTAAGAATTGTTGACTTGCATAAAGCTGGAAAGGGTTATAAAAATATCTCCAAAAGCCTTGCTGTTCCTCAGTCCACGGTAAGACAAATTGTCTATAAATGGATACAGTTCAGCACTGCTGCTACTCTCCCTAGGAGTGGCCGTCCTGTAAAGATGACTGCAGGAGCACAGCGCAGACTGCTCAATGAGGTGAAGAAGAATCCTAGAGTGTCAGCTAAAGACTTACAAAAGTCACTGGCAAATGCTAACATCCCTGTTAGCGAATCTACAATACGTAAAACACTAAACAAGTATGGATTTCATGGGAGGATACCACAGAGGAAGCCACTGCTGTCCAAACAAAACATTGCTGCACGTTTACAGTTTGCACAAGAGCACCTGGATGTTCCACAGCAGTACTGGCAAAATATTCTGTGGACAGATGAAACCAAAGTTGAGTTGTTTGGAAGAAACACACAACACTATGTGTGGCGAAAAAAAGGCACAGCACACCAACATCAAAACCTCATGCCAACTGTGAAGTATGGTGGTGGGGGCATCATGGTTTGGGGCTGCTTTGCTGTGTCAGGGCCTGGTCAGATTGCTATCATCGAAGGAAAAATGAATTCCCAAGTTTATTAAGACATTTTGCAGGAGAACTTAAGGCCATCTGTCTACCAGCTGAAGCTCAACAGAAGATGGGTGTTGCAACAGGGCAATGACCCAAAACATAGAAGTAAATCAACAACAGAATGGCTTAAACAGAAGAAAATACGCCTTCTGAAGTGGCCCAGTCAGAGTCCTGACCTCAACCCGATTGAGATGCTGTAGCATGACCTCAAGAAAGCGATTCACAACAGACATCCCAAGAATATTGCTGAACTGAAACAGTTCTGTAAAGAGGAATGGTCAAGAATTACTCCTGACCATTGTGCACGTCTGATCTGCAACTACAGGAAATGTTTGGTTGAAGTTATTCCTGCCAAAGGAGGTTCAACCAGTTATTAAATCCAAGGGTTCACATACTTTTTCCACCTGCACTGTGAATGTTTACATTTTGTGTTCAATAAAAACATGGCAACATTTCATTCTTTGTGTGTTATTAGTTTAAGCAGACTGTGATTGTCTATTGTTGTGACTTAGATGATGATCAGATCACATTTTATGACCAATTTGTGCAAAAATCCATATAATTCCAAAGGGTTCACATACTTTTTCTTGCAACTGTATGTGTATATATATATATATACGTGGCGTGTGTGTTTCTGCTTTAGGGTGCACACCCTTATACAATAGGCTGCGCACGCCTATGTTTATTTGTCTTTTTTTTTTTTGTCTACTTTTGACAGTTGAAATAGAACCTCTTGCTCTTTAAACTCACGTGTAACAAATTACTCATCTGTCCCTTTTCCTAACTGAGGCCTCTTTCTTTAATTTTCATCTGTAAATACTGAACAAAAATATTAAGTGAGGCAGTCAAATCAACCTTTATCCTCCTCTGCATTACTTCCATCTTTTGTTTTTTTTTAAATCTAACTAATCCTTGTTTTACTTTCCTTTTCTCATTTATGTATCTAAAAATGTTTTGTCCCCCTTTTTTACTGACTGGGCAATTTTCTCTTCTGTGTGTGATGTGGAAGTTCTTATAACTTGCTTAGCCTCTTTATGCCTAATCAAATAGATATTTTGGCCACTTCTGTGGAGTATCACAGTGGTTTCTTAATTTTTTTTGCTTTTACTGACAAGCCTAATGCAATATTCTGTTGCCTTCAGTAGTGCAACTTTCAAATAATTAAAAAGTCACCCAAGATGATGGCTTCCCCCTTCATTGTCATTTTAGCTATTTCCTCAACTAGTAGATTATCGGCCCCAAGCTCCTCTCTGGAAATGGTATTAGTTATGTGGCGAAACCAACCTCGCTACCATACACTGGAGAAGCCTGGTTGCTCGCCTGCTGCCTTTGGACTATGGCCCCATGTTAAAAGAAATTTTTTGTCCCTGCAGAAAATACTTATTCGTGCTTTTCTGCCGGGTGTTCTTCCGAACAACCGCACGAATGAATAGACTACCTGGGAGCTGGAGTGTGCCGGCAATTAACCTCCCTGAAGCTGCAGTTAATTGACGAATGCTGGGTGGCCGCCATTTGTATCACGAACACGAGGTTGCGGCCGTTTTAAACATGCGAATGCACAGCGGTGTTCGACTCTTAATTCATGGAACTGAAATCGGACACAGTTTTGCGCGAACAGCGCTGAAGCCGCTGACCTCCCTTCTTGTTCGGTGAAAGTGCACGAACGACCCGGTGTTCGGTAGTTTGGTTTGAGTGTGTTGTGCCCCAGATAGGAATCCGATGGAGCCCATTCGCATGAAACTGACTGTGTAAAGACTTTGGCTCCATGGCGATTAACCCCTTAAGGACACATGACATGTGTGACATGTCATGATTCCCTTTTATTTCAGAAGTTTGGTCCTTAAGGGGTTAAACTGTATTCGTGTGGTCTGAGCGCCATTCGCTTAATAATGTGCGCTCAGACCTGAGCTATCTGGGGATATGTTAAATGTATGCTTTTAATGTTATGTGTCTCACACAGTGTATTTTAATAGTATTTCATGTTTTAGTATCCCCACGTGCATAATGGCAATTTGCCTTTGTCTTGGGAGATAATTGAATTACTTCTCAATTATCTCCAAGGCAGAGGGGAGGAAGCCAGGATGCATTGTGGGAATATAATGTAGTCACATTATATTCCCACAATGCATCCTGGCTTCCTCCCCTCTGCCTTGGAGATAATTGAGAAGTAATTTGAAAACTTGTCTGTGTTTTGTCACAGTCTCCCATTTGGTCCCCTAGGGGAGTGTCCACCAGGTGGGAGACCTGCATAAAAGCCGGGCAGTTAGCCCCAGTAAATCAGTTCCTGCTTAACCCTCAAAGTGAACTGTCGTCTCATTATTGGGGGAGGATTTACTGTATGCTGTTAGAGACTGACTGCCAGGAGTGTAAGCCGCTTGGGGGCTTTTCCTGTTCGTCTGCTAGCAGCGATTTGTATGGTTCCAGTTTGTGTGTTTGGAGTGCTATATTGGATGCCCTTTGGGAGTCTGGAGCATTCACTTATTGGTGGTTCTTGAGTTTGGTGTTCTACAATAGCTGTGCCTGCATCTCTGGAAAGGGGGAATATCGCTCAAACGGTTTTTACCCCTTGTGTGCAAAATGGTCCATTACAAGTTATAGATATTAGGGCTCTCTCCCCAGCCCCAAGTGCTGCGAACCACCAGGAAACTTCCAGTCCGGCCCTGTTTATTACCCTTTTGCCCCCTCCCACCTGGTTTAACTACGTCCTAGCAAAACCTCTGAACTGCTCACTGAAAACATTTGTTCCCTTTTGAGAAAACCCTATTTTTTGTACAGTTCATTTCCATTCCAAATAGAGCTACCATGAGAAATTAAGCCAAATCCTTGCTCTCTGCACCATTCACCAAGCCACAAATTAAAGTCCCTAATACACATCTGCTTGTCATTATCAGTGTAATGCAAAGGCAGAACTTCAGAGAATGACATAGTGGAAGCAACCTGTCGTATATCATTGGCAAAAACACAAAAAAATTATTTTACCTCATTGCAAGCCAAGTACATCCAATTCCCCTTCCTGCTTTGCTAGCTTAACAATATTACAAATACGTCTTCTGTCTCTGTGAGCAGTAGCTCCAGGAAGACATCTCACAAGGCCACTATTGTGCAGCTCCACACCTCTTATGACAGAATCCCCCAACACCTGCTTTCTATCAGGCCTCACCTTTGCAAACAATTTCTAATAAACCAACAATCAGTAGCAAACACCTAACTAATCAAATCAAATGCCTTACTAATTACCAACAGGAAATCAAACCTGGTGCAATGAAAATCCTTTTCCTAGAGATGACTCTTACTTCTAACAGTAAAAAGAAAAATATTGAACAGCTGAAGAATCAGAAAAACTCTCCAGAATATCTCCAAGCACACACTTTGAAGCAGCACTTAGAGGCAGCAACCAAGCTATATTACAGCAACCAAGCTATCCTTCGAATTCTATTAAAGTACCAACAGCTCCTGCTTTGTCTACTGTTATATATCTTCAGTACATGTCTTTAAGAGCGGTATTTGACAGAAGAAAAGCTGAAAAGTTACCACCCCATAAATCATAGATTTACTACCTGGTTCTATACCACCAAAGGGGAGAGTGTATCCCTTGTCTCCCCAAGAGAACCTTGTCATGGAGGAGTACATCAAGGAATCACTACAAAAAGGGTTTATCAGGAGATCCTCTTCTCAGGCCGGGGCAGGCTTCTTTTTTGTATCCAAGAAAGAGGGTGATTTAAGACCATGTATCGATAAGGGTCTTAACAAAATCACAATAAAAAATTCCTATCCCATTCTATTGATACTGGAATTGTTTGATAGACTGAGTGTAAAACTGCCTTTAACACCAGGAGTGGTCACTATGAGTACAGCGTGATGCCCTTTGGTCTCTGTAATGCCAAAGCAGTGTTTCAGGATTTTATCAATGATGTGTTGAGGGAGTTCATACTCACATTTGTAATAGTGTACCTAGACAACATATTGATATATTTATATGTGATCTACGTACTCATGAAATGCATGTTAGACAAGTTTTGAAGACTCTTATCAATGGCCTCTATTGTAAACTCCAGAAGTGTCTGTTTGACCAAACTGAAGATCCATTCCGGGGCTATCTAGTTTAGCTAATGGCTTTCGTATGGATCCTGAAAAGCATTCTGCAGTTATAGACTAGCCCTTACAACATGCTTTGAAAGCCATCCAGCAATTTATTGGCTTTGCAAACCATTACAGATGTTTTATAAAAGATTTTTCCTCCATTATTGCACCCATTACCAGATTGACAAAAATGAATGTTAATACACATGCCTGGGCCCCAGAAGCACTTGATGCCTTTCATTTTCTTAAGACCGCATTTGCTTCTGCTCCTATTCTTCAGCATTCTAACCCTTCCTTGCCTTTTGTAATGGAGGTTCATGCCTCAGAGGTGTGAGTGTGAGCAGTTGTGTTCCAAACAGAGTCCCCTAGCAAACCATTACATCCTTGTGGATTTAATTACAAGCAAATGTCTAAGGCTGAAAGGAACTCTGACATTGGCAACAGGGAACTCCTTGCCATCATCGTAGCCAGGCCCGGACTGGCCATCGGGCAAACTGGGCAAATGCCCTATGAGCCATGATGGCCATGGCCAAGGCTGTCAGGGGAGATCACAGGATCTCCCCTGCTGTCCCATGCAGGGCCAACACTTTCAGGGTGCCGGCCCTGCTGTGTGCCTTCATGGGCGGTGGGGAGATCAAATATCTCCCTCACTGGCCCACAGGCACTTTACTGGACAGCCGGCGGGGGAGTGTGGGAGAGAGGACCCGAGGGAGCTCTATCATGCAGCTCCACCGGTTTCCTCTCGCGAAGTCCGGGCGCTGCTGCGGTTACCCCAGCAACTCTCTGATCTTGCGACAGTGAACTCCATGAGTTCACCTCACCACTTCGACCACCAGGGATTTACCTCCACTATGACCACCAGGAATTTACCTCCATTACGACCACCAGGGTTTCAAGAGATTCACCTCTACAGTGCCGTGCAAAAGTATTCACCCCCCTTGGAATTTTTTCGTATTTTGTTGCCTCACAACCTGGAATTACCATGGATTGTTTGATGATTTGCATAATTTAATTTACAGAACATGCCCACAACTTTGAAGATTTTTTTTTTATTATTGTGAAGCAAACAACAAATAGGACAAAATAACAGAAAATGTCAATGTGTATAACTATTCACCCCCCTAAAGTCAATACTTTGTAGAGCCACCTTTTGCGGCAATTACAGCTCCAACTTGCTTTGGATAAGTCTCTATGAGCTTGCCACATCTTACCACTGGGATTTTTGCCCATTCCTCCTTGCAAAACTGCTCCAGCTCCTTCAAGTTGGATGGTTTGCGCTTGTGAACAGCAATCTTTAAGCCTGACCACAGATTTTCTATTGGATTAAGGTCTGGGCTTTGACTAGGCCATTCCAACACATTTACATGTTTCCGCTTAAACCAATCAAGTGTTGCTTTAGCAGTGTGTTTGGGGTCATTGTCCTGCTGGAAGGTGACCCTCCGTCCTAGCCTCAAATCAGGGACAGAGTGGTCCATGTTTTGCTCAAGAATATCCCTGTATTTAGCACCATCCATTTTTCCATCAACTCTGACCAGTTTCCCAGTCCCGGCTGCTGAAAAACATCCCCACAGCATGATGCTGCCACCACCATGTTTCACTGTGGAGATGGTGTTCTTTGGGTGAAGTGATGTGTTGGGTTAGCGCCAGACATAGCATTTTCTTTGGCCGTAAAGTAAAATTTTAGTCTCATCAGACCCGAGCACCTTCCTCCATACATTTTGGGAGTCTCCCACATGCCTCTTCGCAAACTCAAAACGTGCCATTTTGTTTTTTGCTGAACGTAATGGCTTTTTTCTGGACACTCTGCCATAAAGCCCAACTCTATGGAGCATACGGCTTATTGTCGTCCTGTGTACAGATACTCCAGTTTGTGCTGTGGAACTCTGCAGCTCCTCCAGGTCTCTGTGCTGCCTTTCTGATTAATGCCTTCCTTGCCCGGTCCGTGAGTTTTGGTGGGCGGCCATCTCTTGGCAGGTTTGCTGTTGTGCCATGTTCTTTCCATTTTGTTATGGTAGATTTGATGGTGCTCCTGGGGATCATCAAAGATTTGGATATTTTTTTATAACCTAACCCTGACTTGTACTTCTCAACAACATTGTCCCTTACTTAGAAAATATATAGGAAGTGGAGCGCTGGACAAGTGTCAGAGATTAGACCAGAGGGTATAAATGATAAAATAGGAAACCTAACGACCTATTAACAAAAACATGCAATAGTAATACTAATACCCTAAATCTCTAGCTAAGATAAGCTCAATATATTTGTAGATATATCTGTACAAAATATTAAAGCAATTTAGCTATAAATAACATAAAAGGTAACAGATATAATAGATGTACCAGACTAATTAATAGGCAGTCCAGTAATCTCTGTGCAGACTCCTTAATTCAGAGATTTATTTGAAATAGTGATGCTCCATAGTACAGATGGATAAATGCAAGAACAAAGGAAAAAATCCATAAATTAATTAATCTTGGTATCGGCAAAAATTGATGAGATGCAATTGTAATAAAATACGAACGACTTTATTGGAGTCTTAGCTCTCAACTATAAAAACAATGTACAATTCCACAGTAAAATATTCAAATGAAATGCTGCATTTGCAGACCTCATTTACGAGTGTCTGCACGCTGATTCACAAAGTGCATACTAGGTGCCGACCTTATATGCTCAAGGCATCCCGGATCAGCAGTTTAGATGTTACAGTGCTGGATGCAATAAGGCAGATGCTTCCTAGTTGCTGGCTTTTAGTGGTCAGCGATCAGTCCCTCCAAACGCGTTTCTCCGTAATAACGGCTTTCTCAATGGACATGGACTCTCTGGCATTTTGATGCTTTTATAGTGATCTCTCATTCTAATTTTCACATATCAATACATACTATTTCTAAAATACATTACATACAAAGTGTTCATTTAAAATACATTGTATCAACAGTTACAAATGATATCAATTTCTCATTCTTAATCGCATATATTGAGTTACATTTTAAACAAATATATGTAACCATAGTTACTCCCGCTTTAATCATATTCTCATTTTAACTGTTATTCAATTTTCATGTCAATATCTCT